GGCCCTTGTTCAAAGTCCCTCTACAGCTCTCCCAGCGTGGATCCAGAGCAGAGGGGCTCCAGCCCTTGGAACATCTCCGTGGCCTCCTCTGGACTCGCTCCAGCAGCTCCACGTCCTTGTGCTGTTGTTCCCCAGGGCTGGAGGCAGCTCTGCAGGTGGGGTCTCACCTGAGGGGGCAGAGGGGCAGAATCCCCCCCTCCCCTGCTGCCCACACTGTGGGATGAGCCCAGGACACATGGGAGTTTTTGGGCTGGGAGTGCCCATGGCCAGGGCATGTCCAGCCTCTCACCCACCAGCACTCAAAGTTCTTGTCCCCAGGGCTGCTCTCAATCCATTCTCCACCCCGTAGGAAGATGGGAAGCTGAAGCAATTCCCGCAAGACACGTTAGCAATCATCATCAGGCTGTCACAATGGGCTCCCTGCTCCGCACAAACCACGAGGAGGCAGGAAATTCCTGACCCCAAATTGTCACACACTCCTTGTGCAACATGCGGGGAGCAGCTGATGGTGGCAAAATTATCTGTATCAAGAGTTTCTTTCTGATTGCAGGGGCTGAACTTGGAAACTCGGGGCTTTTTTCTGAGTTGTTAGTCAAAGAAAGCCTTAGTGTTCCGCATCTAAATTTTGCCAAACCACGAGCATCAATCCTTGTCCAGTGGGAAGGAGTTTCATATAGGAACAGATGGGGCAGAAAAATTCTCTTTTACCCAAGCACGATAACAACATGTCAATATACTTTATTACAAGCAAGTACAGGGAAAAGGGAACTCATCCTACTTTCTGGATCCCATGTGGTGTTTGGAATATCTTGGTTATCTTTGGTGCAAAGCTGCTCTGTTGTCCCTCAGCAGCACAGTGTGAACTCTGTGTTTTGGATGCATCTTGGTGAAGGGAGACCCTGATCCACAAAGGAAGCTCCTCTTTTTGGATGATAATTCAAAGCACCCAAAAATAACAGGCCAAACTTTTTGCAGGGTTTATGTGGCATGACAGGGAGGGTCTGTGGGGCCAGCAGGTCAAGAGAGGGGATTCTTCCCTTCTGCTCTGCTCTGGTGAGACCCTACAGGTAGTGCTGCATCCAGCTCTGAGATCCACAGCATCAGAAGGAAGTGGAGCTGTTGGAATGCGTCCAGAGGATGACTGTCCCTGATAGGCTGTCCTGGAGCCAGCTAGCATTGGGTCTGTTTGAAACAGGGGAAGCTTCTGGCAGCTTGTCACAGAAGCCACTCCTGCAGCTATCAAAACCCACTATCAAAACCTGTCCACACAACCCGGAAAAAACTTTAAAGGCCCCTTCCAAGGTCCCTTCCAACCCAAAGCATTCAATGATACATATTTGGGTGGGGAATTACACTATTCAGGACATGTTTGAGGGCACAAAGAGGACTTGAACCCTATCAGATGACTGTAAAGGGTAGGGAGAGCCCAGCCTGGCACAACCTGGTCTTAACTCTGGGAGTGATCTCCTGGGCAAACACAACCACACCTGTGTTTTGCCTTGAACAGAAGTGGGTGATTCATTTCAGGCTTTAAAATGTACATGATAGGGAGTAACAGGGACTGCAGCACAGCAGGGTAAGGCTGGGATGAACTACAGGGCATGGCTTGGCAGGTACCAGTCACCTGAGAAAAGGTGATGGAGACAGAGATCAAAGAGATCTCCCTGTGCAGCATCCACCAAGCTTGGTGTGCAAAACAGGCTGTGAGTACCCACCAAGGAGAGCAGCTATCTTGCACAGATCTGTCCTTTCCCCCTTGTCACAGCTGCCCTGGAGCACTGTCATGTAGATAACAAGGGAAAAACCTTTCATCAGAGCAAAACAGAAGTGCAGGTTGACCCAGCAATGTGGCAATGTCCATGTTCAGCAGGGATGTCCCACCCCACCATCCCTCTCTGCCTGGGTTGTATTTTATGTCCCACCTGATCTCCAGCCTTGCCATGGTCATGGACTGCGTTCAGCTGAGTGTTCCCATTTCTCCTGCGTGAGAAATGATGGAAAGTTGGGTGGAAGAGGAAAAGCCATGACCTTCATCTCACAGCTACTGAGCATCCCTGGAGATTTCATGGAATCACAGAATAGTTGGGGCTGGAAGGGACTGTAAAGACCACCTTGTTCCACCCCCCCTTCCATGCACAGGGACACCTACCGCTATCCCAGGTTGCTCCAAGCCCTGTCCAACCTGCCCTTGAACACTTCCAGGGATGGGGCAGCCACAGCTTCTCTGGGCAACCTGTGCCAGGGCCTCACCACCCTCACAGGAAAGAATTTCTTCTCAATATCCCATATAATCCTGCCCTCTGGCAGTGGGAAGCCATTCCCCCTTGTCCTGTCCCTCCAGGCCCTTGTCCCAAGTCCCTCTCCAGCTCTTTTGGAGCTCCTTTAGGCTCTGGAAAGGGCTCTAAGGTCTCCCTAAAGCCTTCTTTTCTCCAGGCTGAACACCTCCAGCTCTCCTAGCCTGTCTCCAGAGCAGAGGGGCTCCAGCCCTTGGAGCATCTCTATGGTCTCCTCTGGACTTACTCCAGCAGCTCCACATCCCTCTGATGTTGTGGATCCCAGAGCTGGAGGTAGCTCTGCAGGTGGGGTTCACCTGAGCAGAGCAGAGGGACAGAATCCCCTCCCAATTTAAGGAATGCAGGGGGAGGACGATGCAGTATTATGGGTCTTTCAGGAGGATGTTTCTTAGAGGGGCAGAAAATGGGAGCAAGATGTCAGTGAGAGGGTCAGGAGGTGCTGATTCTATCCCATCCTCATCCCTGAGCGAAGTGACAGGGAAAAAATGAGGTCCCCTGCCCACCCTCTTCACCCTGTTGGGTTTTCTCTCCTCACTCTGAGGGCATTGGCTCTCCCCCATGCTGGGAGATGTGTGCTGAGATGTGCCGAACCTTCAGCCAGGCTGGAGTGATCTTATCAGAGCTGGAAAGTCACGTTCCTGGGCTGCCTCTCCACGGATCCTCTCCCTGCAGAACAAACAGTCCTTCTGTTTCCCTTGTAAACCCATCAAGAAACAACAGTTCTGACAGGCTGGAACAGCAAAACCCGCATAAACCAGTAGAGGTTGGAGGGGGGAAAAGGGTACTCTGTACTCCTAAAATTAACCTGCTCCTGGGATCAGGGTGACTTTATAGCTGAATCCATCACTGTGGTTTTGGCACAGCTCAGTCCAGAGTGCATCAGCCTCTCCCAGACATTTCCCAGGCACAGCTCAGGAGCACATGGACCACTCCAGAAAGGCCATTTGGGTGCAAACGACTCTTTTAGGGAGCCAAAATCTAGGGCAAAATTATCCACTCTCGCATGTCCACAGTAAAATCAGGGGGTTCCTCCCCACTCCATGGGAATCATCTGATCTGTCCCCCCTTCTCATGCAGGGCAGATTGCCCAGGTCCATTTTCAATATCTCCAAGGATGGAGACTCCATCACATCTCGGGGCAACCTGTGCCAGTGCTCGGCCACCCTCAAAATGAAGAAGTGTTTCCTGATGTTCAGAGGAACCTCCTGTGTTTCAGTGGGTGCCTGTGGCCCCTGGTCCTTTCTTTTTTAATTTGAACATAGAACCTCCATCCTCAAGAGTGATCTCCATCCTTGGAGTTCTTCATGACACAGTCCCAGGCTCTGGGTAGCCCTTCTTGAGCAGGGGGTTGGACCAGCTTCCCAACCCAATCACCTCATGGTGACTTCTAAGTCCTACAAAGAGTGGCTGAGGGAGCTGGGGGGGCTCAGCCTGGAGAAAAGGAGTCTCAGGCAGGACCTTCTCACTGGCTGCAACTCCCTGACAGTAGGGTGGAGCCAGGTGGGGATCGGATTCTTCTCCCAGGCATCCAGTGATAGGACAAGAGGAAATGGCCTCAAGCTGTGTCAGGGGAGGTTCAAGTTGAACATGAGGAAGAATTTCTTTATGGAAAGGGTCTCCAAGCATTGGAAGGGGCTGCTCAGGAAGGTGGCAGAGTCCCCATCCCTGGAGGTGTTCAAGAAACGACTGGACGCGGCACTCAGTGCTTTGGTCTAATTGACAAGGTGGTGATTGGTCACAGGTTGGACTCGATGATCTCAGAGGACTTTTCCACCCTAAATGACTCTGCGATCCTATGACTTTACATCCTGATGTCTCCCCTTTAGTTCCCTTCCGCAGCCACCAGTGGGGGTGACGGGCTGCATGCGCTCCCACCGGTTCGAGCCGCGCTTTCTCCAGCCTGGGCTGGGCTGCGCTTGGCCAGGCTGAGCTCGGCTGGGCTGAGCTTGGCCGGACTGAGTTTGGCCGGGCTGAGCTCGGCTGGACTGAGCTTGGCTGGGCTGAGCTCGGCTGGGCTGAGCTTGGCTGGACTGAGTTTGGCCGGGCTCAGCTCGGCTGGGCTGCACTTGGCTGGACTGAGTTTGGCCGGGCTGAGCTCGGCTGGACTGAGCTTGGCTGGGCTGCGCTTGGCTGGACTGAGTTTGGCCGGGCTCAGCTCGGCTGGGCTGCGCTTGGTTGGACTGAGTTTGGCCGGGCTGAGCTCAGCTGGGCTGAGCTCGGCTGGACTGAGTTTGGCCGGGCTCAGCTCGGCTGGACTGAGTTTGACCGGGCTGAGCTCGGCTGGACTGAGTTTGGCCGGGCTCAGCTCGGCTGGGCTGCGCTTGGCTGCACTGAGTTTGGCCGGGCTCAGTTTGGCTGCACTGAGTTTGGCCGGGCTCAGCTCGGCTGGACTGAGTTTGGCCGGGCTCAGCTCGGCTGCACTGAGTTTGGCCGGGCTCAGCTCGGCTACACTGAGTTTGGCCGGGCTCAGTTTGGCTGCACTGAGTTTGGCCGGGCTCAGTTTGGCTGGGCTGAGTTTGGCCGGGCTCAGTTTGGCTGCACTGAGTTTGGCCGGGCTCAGCTCCGCTGGTCTCGCTCCGCGGGGCCACCCCGGGGCGGGGCGGGGCGCGCATGCGCGGTGGCGGCGCTGCCGGAGGCGGCGGCCGCGGGACTCGGCGGCGGGAGCGGGAGCGGTGAGTGCGGGCGGTGGGAGCGGGCGGTGGGAGCGGGCGGTCCCTTCCCCACGGACACCACCCCCCTGCCTCCGGGACACCTCGCCGAGGGGCCCCTGTGGATGCCCACTGAGCTCCCGGTGAGTTCCCGCTGAGCTCCCGGCGAGCTCCGGCGTCCCCGCGCGGGTAGCGCCGCTCGCTGCATCCCCGCCGCGGCAGGAGCATCCTTATCCTTCCCCGCGGGGGCTGCGGGATGCAGGGGGGGGGCGGTGGCCGGTGCCTGGTGCTTGCAGAGACCCCCGCTGCGGGTTCTCCAGGACCTCGGGGTGCGGCGAGATGCGGGATCTCTCCCTCCACGCCGAGCACAGCCGTAGTCCATGAACCCAAGCTTGGTCCAGCAGCCAGGTGGGCGCTGGGGAAGAGCATCAGTAGGGGAGGAGTGCGCAGGAAGATATGGGTTTTGCCTTAAATTGCCCCCCAAGCCCCTGTGACCGGTAGCTCAAGGGCAGAGAGGTGGGCAGTGTTTTTCCGCCGTGTTTGTTTTTAATGGCTGTGGGAGGATTTTCCTTGAATGACTTTGACCCCCGGGGTGTTCTTGGAGGCCGCGGGAAGGAGACGCGCAGTTCGGCCGTGAGCTGGGAGAAGAACCAGCTCCCGGTGTTTGCTTTGGAGCTCCTACCTGCCCCTTGTGCTTGACGCGCCCCAGCTCGTGTCTCCAAAGGGTCAACGAGGGGTTGTTCCCTGCTGATCTTCTCCAGGACACCTCGGGGTCATGTTCCCCTTAGATCCCATCTGGATTTTCTTCCTGGCTGAAAATACCGCGAGCATCTCACTTTTTTGGGGGAAAAAAATACTGTCTTAAAGTGTTCTGGTTTTTTTTTGAGACAAATATATAGGTTTGGGTAAACATTTAACAGTTGTTTGCTCCGTGTCAAACTGATTCCTCTCCGGAATGAGCAGGCTTGGGTATGGAGCATCCCAGTAGCTGCAGTGGGGTGGGAAGTGCCACACAAGACCAATGGTCCCTGCTCATTAAATAACTGTGCAGCTCCAGCAGTTCATCCCCAGGCTGCTTTAGCTGGAGCACACAGTTTTGTTTTGTTTTTTTCTGGGATGGAGAGGTGTGTTTTGCTCTGGGATGTTGTGGGATCATCGCTTCAGAGCTGAGAAATGCCCGAGAATGTTTTAGGTGCCGTTAGTTTGGGGGATTGACAGGTTGGATGGGGCTTGGAGCAACCAGGTCTAGTGGAACCCTTTGGCAGGGGGTTTGGAACAAGATCCCTAAAGTCCCTTCCAAACCAAACCATTGTAGGATTGTATGATTGCCAGCAGAGGATTAGGATAGGGATGAGTCTGATGCTGCCCTGGCAGCAGCCGTTGCAAAAGAGCAAAGTCATGAAAAGGTCGTGAAAAATGATGAATCCAGCAGGTCTGAAGTCTGTTTTTGGCCGCTGCTAGGGCAGGGAGGGCACAACCAGCTGTGAATTCTACCAGCACATAATGCTCCTGCTTTGGTGTCAGGGTGAGGGGAGTGATACAAATTGTTGCAAACAATTCCTAGAAACCCACATCTTGTGAGGCCAAACCACGCGCTGTTACACATTTCCTGCCACTCAGCCGGGGAAGGTGTGGGTTAAGTCAGTGCACAGTGCAGGGTTTTCTGTTTCCTGGGCACTAATTGCTTTTATTTAGTTTTGCTGAAGCTGTGGCTGGAGCCTCTGGCCAAGCAGAGGGTTTTTCCCTGAGGATGCAGGGAGGGATGGGCAGTGTAAGCTGAGGACAAGGGAGGTGCCATCATCAGGTCACGTGTGTGCACTTGCAGCTACTTGCATGTCTTGAGTCAGGCACCAGCTTAATTTTTATCTGCCAGTGTCCTTGGTAACCCTTGTTCCTGCAGTCGGACCAGCGGCCCTTGAATTGCAAAATAATTAATTTAATAAATCCCTCCAGAAGAATAAATTCCCAGGAAGGCTGCTGGAGGCTGCACATTTGATCTGCAGCTGCACTGATGTGGCCACACCTTACATCCTCCATCTTTCATAGAATCATGGAATGGTTTGGGTTGGAATGGACCTTAAAGATCATCTTGTTCCACCTGCCTGCCACGAGTAGGGACACCTTCCACTAGACCAGGTTGCTCCAAGCCCCATCCAACCTGGCCTTGAACACTTCCAGGTAGTAAGGGGAAGCTTGCTCCCAGCTCCCCACCCCCAACAAGTCCTTGAGATTGTGCAGGATTGTAAGCATGTGGATACAGCACAGCCTGCATCCCTTTTTTTGGGAGGAATCCACCATCTGGCTCTTGCTTGGGGCTTTGTAGCCCCAGGAAGGGCATCACTGCTGTCACTGCAAACCCAGAACCTCGCTGGGAGAGGCCATGGGATTAAATGGGAAGAGGTCCCGTATAGGGACAAAGACTTTTAGTGCAGGGAAGAGGAGAGCTCGCAGCTCCAAGGGGTTGGCACAGAGCTCAGTCTCTCCCTGGCAGCCCGTCCTCTGCCCGCAGCAGCCGCCGTGCTCTGCATGATTTATATACATTTTTTTCGAGTGACCGAAGCTCTAAAATCTGCAACCTTAAAAAAAAAAAAATGTTTTTGTTCAAGAGGCTTTTGTGGATTACAGCAAAGCTGAGAAGCCTCAGCCCAGAGGCTCTTTTGGGGACAATTCACACCCCCAAACAGCACACAGCCAGTTTGGTTTGGTTGCTCTGCCTGCAGGCTGGTGGTTCCAGGGTTGTCCCACCAGCAGGGAGGGATCGGCTGACTTGTTGAGGTCTTCCTGTGTTAGCAGGAGTTTCCAGCTCCAGCAGATCTGTGCTTAAGGAAGATTTGTGGTGAAAGTGAGATGCAGCTGCAACAAATCCAGGCTCCTTTTTCAGTCAGTGAGGGGAGGGAAGAAACCCCAGGCACATCCCTGGCACAATTCCAGCTTCTGGAAACGGGTCAGTCCCACTCCATCAGTGGTCCCTGCATGACTGAATACAGCAGGCAGGGACTGGTGGGGGTGGCTGGACCAAAAACAAGCCCAGGAGTGACACTTCAGCCACCTGATGGTCATTGACTGGGACTGTGTCCTGGTCTGGTTTAATTCCTGGTGTACTCAAGGTGCTCCATCCAGGGATTTCACACCCACCTGAAATCAAGCCCCAAAGCATCAGGCACTGTGTTAGTTGTGTGTGGGAAAAGAAAGTGGTGAGCAGATGAGCAAAGCACAAACAGCAAAGGATTAGTGAGATCAGGAAGAAAAGCTGTAGAATATTACCTTGACCTTGAGCAGTTTTTGATATGGGGGGACAGATTTGCCAGAGGAGATAATTCTCAGCCAGGGTCTGTGAGTAGAAATGGTGAATATTAACATTTTTGCATATGCCTGGTGCTGCGGGTGGGTTTCTTTTTTTTCAGGAACTGAGTGTATTGGCTGTGTTATCAGCAGCATCACCGACCTCTGACCCTGGTTAGGCATGAGGAAACTGCAGCAGTGTTATCGCAGCAAATCAGAAATGTGCCCTTCCCTGGCATGGTTTGGGACTTAGCACAGTCCAGGAGTTGTTCCTGGCAGACAGTTTGTGCGTGGCCACCCATTTCAGGGGTGCAGCAGCACAGGAATGGCCAAGCCAGCCTGGTGAATCTCATAGCTGAGGACTTGGTGCTGTGAAAATAGATCCCCCCTGCACCTGACGTCTGGCTCAAGGTTTGGACTCTCACAGTACAGCCACCGGCCTCATCCAGCCTGCTGGGTTTCCACTGCCCTGCTGTGCTCCCCCAAACACCACAGGACCTCAGGGACACCCCCTCCTTGGTGGGATGCTGTGGCTTTGCTGCAGGGACACTGTGTGTGCCAGCAGCTTTGTTTTGCTCCGTCCCCTCCAAGCACAGCGTTCCCTGTGCCGGCTCCGCTGCTCTCATCCCCTGGCCTCATCCCAAAACTCAGGCAACGCTGAGCCCATGTCAAGAGGCACTTGCTGCTCGGCACGGCTGAGCTGGCTGCTGGCCCAGCTCACTCCCAGGCCAGGAATTGCAGGGGAGCTGACATTGCCGTGGCTTCCGTGGGGGATCCTGCCACCTCCTGCCGGCTTTCATGGCTCATCTCCCGGCATCACGGGACATTCGTTTCCTGAGCAATGCAGGCTTGGACAAACCCTGCCTCAGCCACACACTGTGCATGTGTATGTGTGCACAGAAAGGCAGAATTTGAGCCCTTTTCTTTTATTTGAAATTTTCCACGAGGCTACTTTGACCCTTTTTCTCAACAGGTTACTTTAAGGGTTTTTTTAAGGCTTTTTTAAGGGTTATTTTGAGGCTCGCTCTTCAGAAAATCACATCACGTCACCTTTTGCCTTCCTGAGCATCCTAACCTGTGCAGGGCCATGTTAAAGGAGCGATTGCAATTGTGCTGATGTAGATGTAACAGGGTAGGCAAGTGTGTCAAGGGAAATAAAATCTTCTGTGCAATGCACTGTTAAGTAGTCCCAACACTGCCTGGTGTGTTAAGAGCACAATGTCTAGTTCTCATTGGGCAGATGAGGATTGATATCCCCATTTCATAGATGGGGAGGTGTAAGCCCGATTTACAGAAGCCACAAGCACCTGGCACCTTTCTGGTTTTGGGGATTTCCACTTCTTTTTTGTTGGAGTGCAGATCAGTCCTTCATACCCTGCTGCCTGCTCAGGGAGGGCTCGTCCCTGGCACAAACTATTGAATCATAGAGTGGGTTGGGTTGGAAGGGACATTAAAGCTAATCTCGTTCCACACCCCTGCCATGGGCAGGGACATCTTCCACTAGACCAGGTTGCTCCAAGCACCATCCAACCTGGCCTTAAACATTTCTAGGGGTGGGGCAGCCACAGCTTCTCTGGGCAACCTGTGCCAGTTTCTGAGTGACACCCAAGTAAATCCCAGGAACTCCCTGTGGAGATCTAAGCCCCATGTAAAGCCCAGTAACTCCCTGCAGGAGGGAGCTGAGTGCTGTGTGTGTCTGTTGCAGTTCAGAGGGAGGTTGGCATGTAAGCCTGTGGCAGGAGAAGGATGCTGATAATACTACACTACACGGGAATTGCTGCTTCAGGTGGTCTGTGTTCTCTTAGTTCCTCATCACTGGTGGGGCCTTTCCAAAACACCAGGCAGAATGGGATGGGGGAGC